CAGCTCCTGGGTCACCTCCTGGCAGAAACCTGGAGAAAGGGTGTATCTGTCCTGCTCCAGGAGCTGCTCTTGTAGGTGTAACAGCTTCAAGATAGAAAGCTGGTGGGATACAGTCTTCCCCACGGACCCCAGAGAGAGCTCGTGCAGAGACTTCAGCTCAGATGCCCACTTTCCAGGCGGCCAGAGCTAGTGAAGATGAATCTGGCCGCGCCGCATATGATGCAGACACGGCTGAATGCTTTGAGGGCCAGCACGAGTTTCTTGGAGTTGCTCCTAACCTCTTTGAGTTAGAGCAAGTGGAGGAGCCCATCGGGGGCCTCCTGCAGCCCAGCACCCTCCTACAGAAGCCCAGAGTTTGGTTCTGCTGCCTGCAACGGCGCTTTGTTATTAACAGCCGCCAAACGTTTGGCTCTAAACGTGTGTACTCAAAAGGAAGAGTCCTGGGGGGTTTCTTTGCTAATCCCGTTTTGCAGAGAGTTCCAGAAGACTTGAGGAACAAACAGAAAATAACGTCGATCGAGGTCAATATCAAAACCAAATGATCAGAGAAACAAATATTTACTCAGGTCAATATTTAACTAGGAGACAATAAATGCTGATATTGAACCAAATCTGTATATAAATACGGTCTATTTATAATATGTGCCTTTAAAGGGGTACTGCCAGGTACTTGCCATGGTTTTTGATTGATGATTATCCTCCCCATTGTTTGCTGATTCCCTTGGAGGCCGGAGTTTCATGCAGGTGCATGTATGAGAAAGAGGCTGTACTGCGTAATCCCAGGGCCCGGACGACCGACGCAACCGTTGTCCCACGCACGCCTGTGCTCAGGGAGGGTCCCTCGCCCCGAGGAGGGGTCCCCCCTCGCACCCAGAGCGGGTGCCCTGCCTCTCCCCCATCCCTCGACACCCCCACCCCCTCCCCAAATCGCAGGGCCAGCGCCGCTGCCTGACCCGCATGGGTGAAGCTGGCGTTTTGCTCGCGCCCCTCTCCCAAAAGTTCTTTGCGTGGGGGACCAGCACAGCGTGGCAGCCGGGGCCGGCTCTGAGCGAGAGCCCGAGACCCACCTGGGAAAGGGGAGGAAGCAGGTTTGATGCCTCCCAGCATCACAGAGCAGGATTTGGGAGGGGGCCGGGGCTAGCGCAGGGCTCGAAGCCGCCGAGTACTGAAGAAAAATCCTCCCTGCCCCCTCCTCCCCAAGCCCTTTCCCCCCCAAACCGCTCCCTCTGCCAACTTTACGAGCTCATTGCCTGTTTAGCAAACATCGATCCCTCGCCTTGTTCTCTGCTGCTGCCCGTGTGGTGACAACATCTGATGTTTCTATGGCGGTTTGTTATTTATCAACTTCAGATTAGAAAGCGTTTAATCATGGGAAAGACACGTCTCGCCTCCTGCCTCGACAGCTTGCAGTGCCTAGCGCCCTTCTAATGATGCTCTCGTGGTTAATCGCTGGCAAAATGGCACGGTTGGCTCAAGGGCCCCATTTTTTTTTTTTTTTTTTTTTTTTTTCCTGCGTCCTCCCAAGAAATGTTTGTCTTGGACTCTGGGTGTATTGATCGATGTCCTGATAACGCCTCGCCCTGCCTTTGACAACATCTAAACGAGGGATAGAGGTCTCCGAGGCAGGAGGTTCCTGCAGAATTTATGAAAATTGGCAGATGGTAGAGGGGGAAAACTCATGTCAATGCCTACTAGCCACAGGAGAATCCCCTCTGGAGGAAGCTGGGGGAAGCAGGGCTTTGTTGTCTTCTTTCTTGACCAAGTCACTGGCCTGCAGGGCTGGGTTTTTACTGGTTTCCCAGGGCTGGGTGCTTCACGACATACAGCTCTTTCAGAGGCTGCTGAGGTTATCTTGCCCTCCAGGGAATTTTGGTCACTAGGTCCCGGGCTCTGGTGTGCCAGTGCTGAGTGTCACACGGTCCTGCTGGTCCAGGGACACAAACTGGTATCCCGTGGCCTTGTCTGGAGTGGACAAAGTGCTCGTTCTAACCCATTTCCTTTTCCTGCTTTTTTTTTTTTTTTTCTTAAAGACCCTTCTCTGTGGTCAGAGATAGATACTAAGACTTTGCGGGGAAAATACCACAGGAGTTCAGTGCTTTTATTGTATGAAGGGCTATTCTTAATGGCTTCCCCTGCCTGGCCAAACCAAAGATCCCAGTTTGGTCACCTCTAAGCTCACAGAAGTTTTGTTGATGCCTGCTTTGCCTGGATTTCCCCTTTGCTCACTTTGTGCCTGAGCTACTGACCGATGATGGCCGATGCAGTTGGTGGTGGCCGGGGCATGCCCAGCTCCAAGCCCTTGTCTCTCACCCTTGTCTCCGGTGACCTCACTGATGGCACTGCCAGTGACTATGGGGGAAACTTGGGCCACTGAACCCCACTCAGGACCTCGTGGCTCTTCAGGTAGAAGGCCCTGGAGGCTTTGCCCATCCAGCCACGGTGGGTATCCCCTGCAGTGTTGAGCTGAGCTGAGCTCCCTGGCTACGCGATGCATTCAGTCCTTGTCCAAAGGGCCAGAAAATGGTTCATTCCCCGCGGGTGGCTGGCGGACAGGGAGGAAGGGATGGGCCGATCGTTCCAGGTCAGTGCTGTCTCGTGTGAACCCACCGCCGTGTCCTCAGCCGCCCCGGGCAGGGCTGCAGCCTGCTGCCACGACCCGCTTGGTGCCGGCCAAGGACTCCGCGGAGACCCAGTGACTATGGGGCTTCCTCCTGGTGGGGCCCGCTTCGCCCTCAATTGCTTCCTTTGTATTTGTGCTGCTTAGCACAGCAGCTCTTGAAGGCGGGCGGCTGGCAGAGCGGAGGGGGTTTGTTGGTCTCCTGGTGTGGTTGACCTCGAAACGAGGGATCACCACGCGCGGGCTCAAGCATTACCTGCGAAGGAGCTCGGCTGAAGTATGCGGGTGCTTCCGAAGCTGTTTCTTCCAGTTGGTGGGGGTGATGGGACACAGCTTTCGAGCCCCAAACCCTTTTAGCTCTGACCCGGAGATTTCATGCTTAAGCATCTCCTCATGCTTCCAGGCACGAAGAACACAGGGAGACCGGCAGCTCTCCACGGATGACAGGTCTCAGCATCCCCAGCCTGTTTGGTACCCATCCTTTCACGGCCGCTTGGTTCTGTGGTCTGTCGTGGCCTCGCAAGGAACATCCTCCATTTAGATGCAACTCCCAGAAAACACGAACACCCCCAAAATGGGAAAATTGAGTCCATTGTACTGGTTTTCTGTGAGTGAGAGGGAAGCTTGGGCTGGTGCCTAGCCCTTGCTGGTTTGACTGACCGGCCTGACAATGTGTGCATGACCCCCAACTGGGAGGGTGAGAAAAGGCTTTACCACAGCCTTGTTGAACTGGAGAAATGGTAGAGGTTAGGGTGAAACCTCGTGGTTGTGGAGGGGAAAAATGGGCACACTGGAAACGAGCAGGCAGCAGCAGCTGCAGGAGAAGGATGTGGAAGGAGAATGGGGCACAGGCTGGCGCTGGACCCACAGAAGACAGATAAATGCTGTTTTGGGAATTGGAGATAACCCTACCCCTTTCCTTGGGGCTGGAGGGCTGTGGCCTATTTTGAGCACTGATCTTGGAGAGAGGATCCAGGTCTGGGTGGCAGATCTGAGAAGAGTCCTCAGTTGGGCCTCTGTGGAAAGCTGGAGGGAATCGAGGCAGGAGAAGAGAAGTGTGCAGGATATTTGTAATCATACAGGGAATGATAGAGGAGATTTAAGTCCTGGCAAAGTCTTTCCACCTTGGAGATTGCTAAGCACAGGAATGGGCTAGCTGAAGGCAAACTGCAGAGAAGGTCCCTGGGGATTCTGCAGCCTGGAGGGGCTGGAGTACCTGCTCCTGAGCCTGAGGAGGTGGGATTCCCCCAGGTCCTCTGTTTGTAGGAGCCTGGCAGCGGCGTGATGGTGAGAGCTTCACCTCAGAGGGTTGGCTGTAGCTTGCAGTGCTGCCACACTTCTGCCAGGAAGCGTGGTCTGTCCGAGCCCCAGTAGCATGACTGAAGCTCTTCTTGGGGAAAACCTCTCCTGCCCTTGCTCCTGCAGACCCCGCGGCACTGGGAGCTTGTTAGGTGTTGGGCAGAGGAGAGGAGTTGTGCCTGAGGCCATGGGCATGCAGATGAGCATGGTGTGTCCTGGCTATCAGAGCACCTTATGGTGGGTGCCCGTTCCAGGCTGGGGGGTGCTGGGGCTCGGCACAGCCCCAGCCCCAGATCTGCACCAAAAAAAAAAAAAACCCCCAAAAACCCTCATGGATGATTTAAATGAGTGGGTGTTGCAGGCTCAGCCCCTGAAGCCTGCACCGGTGGTTTCCAGCCTGTTTCCAGGACATAGCATGAATGTTTCTGCCTACCCTGACATAGAGCCTTTGTAGATGGGAGCTCCATTGGGAACTGGGAGAACTTACTGGTTTGACTGGGCTGGAAGTCTCTGAAAGTCTTTGCGCCATGCCTCAAAGCTCTGTCTTTCTCAGCTACCTTTTCTCGCCCCGTGAGAAGCCCAGAGTTCACCAAACCTTGCTGCCAGGTTGTCCTCCTCGGGCAAGCTCCAAACGCCGTGGCAGATCCCACTCTGCCCCTCGGCGAGGATTAAGACGTTAAAAAAAAGAGAGAGAGACCGACCGCGTGAGCTGGGAACCGAGTCCCTGCTCATCCCCGGGGCAGGTGATGTTAAACAGGAAAGAAAGACCAAAAAAAATAATAATAAAAAAAATATAATCCCTGTTAGTGAACAGAGAGGTGATGTCGAGGCTCTGTTCCCACCTCTGGGTGGGAGGAAAATGGAGATCATTGCTGGGGGGGGGGCTGAGCCCTTGCTTGCTCTTCCTGCGGCTTCTGAGCCGGTCGAGGGGTGCTGGGTGAATGGGGAGGGCACTGGTGATGGTGCTGGGGACCAGCATGAGGCCCTGGGGGGGCTGCAAGGGGCCAGGGAGGGGGGGCGGAGGGGGTTGTTCTTGGGCTCCCGGGGAGGTCGCCCCACTAACCCAGCCCTGTCTTCCCCGCAGCTGCACCCGATGAGGATGGAACAGCGGATGCCGCCACTCGTTCTTGAGGTGAAACGCTTTCCTCATTCCCCCCTCTGCCTGCCTCTGTGCCCCCCATGGTGAGAGGTACCAGCTAAAGCCCCCGAGGGACGGAGCTGGGGCGTCCCCCCACCTACCCAGCCCCAGTTCAGGCCACCCAGACCCACTGGTGAGGACAGGGTGGCATCTCTGCTCCCTCCTTCATCCCCACAGCCAGCCGGGGTGCGTTCCTCCCGCCCGCGGTGTCCCCGTCTGTGCAAGCCCCCCTGCCCCGGGCACCCGTAGAGCTGTCGCCCTTCGTGGCTTCTGTGTTCGGGACACTTCGAGTTGGATCCCAACCCAGGCAGGTCAGCGCGTCGTCACCCCAGCTGTGCTGACCGTGGGGCCGAGGAGTTGGTTTTTGGAGGGAGGGTCGGCGGGCAGGCGCCTCGGGAAGTGGCGCGGTGTTGGGTGCCAGCCCCAGCGGGCTGGGGTCGCGAGGCGTTTCGGGGGCCACAGAGAAGCAAAGTGCCATTTCTCGCTCTTCGGGGTGCCCCTTTTCTCGCTCTTCGGGGTCAGGCGGGACCTTATGTCGGAATCAGCAGCGTTGCAGAAGTCTGGGTTCCAGCGAAGCGGAGCCCTCGCTGCCCGGGTCCTGCGGGGCTGCAGAGCTCATTGCTTTTGCTCTGACGACCAGGTGCCCCTTCACGCCCCCTTTCCCCAGGAGCCTGGGGCTGCTTAGGATCAGAGGTGGATTTATCAGGCTTTAATGGAATGACAGAAGACTTTTTGCAGGGAGGGGTGGTTATGAGAGACCAGGAGGCTGGGAGACGCTGAACAGGGTGTGGGGGGGACTCAGTCTGAGAATGCAGGTTTTGGATCTGAAATTAGGGCCCTCCGTGCCTTTCTACATTTAATGTACCTGCCTGGTCACCTGCCATATAGTGACCTACCCGAGTTGTGGCGGGGGAGACCTTTTCTTGGGAACTGAAGGTGAGAAAGTTAAATGCCAGAGATAAGGGAAAATGCAGAAGTAAAAGGCATCCAACACCTTCCCCCTGCCCCCACTCCTGGCAAGGGGGGTCATTTCACTGCTCAGGTATGTCAGGCATTCGGAGCCTCCGGTACTGCCTAGAGCAAGCTGACTCCCAAGGGTAACACTAATATGCCAGCGTGGGTGCACAGGGCAGGAGCATGCAGGGTTCAGCTCCTGAGCTTTGGCACGGTTCTCCCTCGGGCAGGAACCCAAGCTGGACACTGCATCGGGTTTTGGACCCGTCTGCAAGGACTGAGCTGAGGGTCCCTGCCTCTGGCTGATGTCTTGGCTTTAGGGTATGCCTGGGCAAGGGTTTCCCCACTGGAGCACAGAGTGCTGGAGGCAGTGTTGCCTTGAGCACAGGCAGCTAGGTGAGGATGTGACCAAGTCAGTGCCAAGACGTAGCTTCCTTTAACGAGGGCAGGGACTTTTCAGGACGGTGCCTTCGCTGAGGACGGGTAGGATTTACAGCACAGCGTGTGCACACCCACACCCACACCCACACCCACCCACACACCCCCCGGTGCGGTGAGCACGGCGTAGAAAACGCAGTCCCAGCGCGGCGTGCTCGGTTCCAGTGCGGCATGGCACTTCCAAGTCCAGCTGCTCTGAGCTTCTGCCTGTGGAGAAGAGGCTGTATTTGTGGCACGTACCTGCGTTTGGGTGGGAGCCAGCTTACCCATGCGTTGCCAGTATGGCTCGCAGAGGTGCAAAGGCTCTTTGAATTAGCTGGAAGCACAGGTGATACGTTTCACTGAAAAGGGCGAGGAAATCTCTTGGGCCCCGTCCAGCTTTGTTAAGAGCAGCGAGGTTGCAGCGGGGATGACTTTGGCCCATTGCACTCCAGTGACATAGTTCAGAGCTGTAAAACCCTCGGCTCAAGCGTGCAGGGTGTGGGGTGAGATCAGCTTGCTCTCCTGAAGCGAGCTGTAGGCTCTGCCAGGGAAACCTGGTGGTTTTGCCAGCTCCTCTACATATGAATGAGTCTACAAGGGCTTTGCAATGAGCTTGACACATGGATAACCACATAATTAAAGGCTGTAGCTTTATAGAAGAGCATTAGCGCTGGTATCTTTAACCACAAAGAGCAGAACTTGAGTCATCAAATGCCAGGGGATGAATTTCCTAGTGGATTGCTCCATCAGGTTGCTGAATTATCGGGCCTGGATCCAGTGGGATGCTGCATCAGAGATGAACCAGGAGGGGAAAAAACCTGGCAAGCGGTGGTTGTCTGAGCTAGAGGTCCCGGTAGGTTGGAGGACCCAGACTTGTAAGAACAGCTCTACAAAACGAGAACTAAACCAAAGACTAGGGGAGGGCTGAGTCACTTTACCAAGACAAGACAGTAATGGTGTGCCTGGCAGTTTCTGCTTTAGGCTCACAGTTCCCTGAATTAGTGGCAACGTCGCTTAGATTTCTAGGGCTATCGCCCAAATTATTTGCAGTTAATTAAAGATACCGTCCTAGAATATTCTCAGTTAATTGAAGATGTTGTCCTAGAATGAAATGCAGTGCATCTCATGCTGCTGAGTTTAAAGGAGACCGGGGTCACCATGTCTAAGGTGGGCTGCAGATCCAACATGCCCAAAGCGTGAGGCTGACTGGAGCAGAGTTTCTGATTTCATCCCATTTCTAGTGTTAAATTCTCTTGTTTGTGTGACCAAAGCTTCGTACCTAAAGCTTGGCTTTTCATTCTCAGGCAATCTTTCTCTCCTAACCGCATCCTCTGCCTAGCTTACCCTTTGTTACGAGTGCAGATAGGTAGGAGGGGACGTGGGACAGAGGACAGTGATTCACTCCTGGGGAGTCTGGCTAAGGTAAATCACCTCAGCCTGTCACTCCCGGGCTGTTCTTGCCGCTCTCTCCATTTCCTGCTGGCTGCAATACTTGTTGAACTTTGGGCTCCCACCACCGCCGTGTCAAGGTCACTCTTCACGAGTTCTCTCGCCTGTATTTTTTTGCCACAGGCACGGTCCGAAATGGATAAGTACCTTTCAAATGAGGTGCCACCCATCCCAATGATACCAGACAAGAAGTACCGCCGGGAGAGTGCCTCGGTGGTGGATGAGTTCTTCTCCACAGAGAAGCCCACTTCGACGCCGTACAGTGTGAACATCAACGTGATTCTGCCAGACACGACCCACCTGCGCACCGGACTTTACCGGCCGCCCAAACCCATGACGCCATTCCCGCAGATCAAAACAGAGCCCGGCACCAGCTTCGCCCAGCCCTGCTCTTCTGCCTCCGGCTCCACACAGACCCTGCCCGACTTCACCAGTGTCTTCAGCATGCCCCAGTCGGTGGCGGTGAACAACATCTTCATCAAGCAGGAGATGCCCTCTGAGATCCCCTTGGCCGCCAACCCGCAGCAACCCCAGCTTTACCAGATGCCTCTTGGCAACGGAGGCGCTGACGTTCCCACCCTGACATCCTCCTCCAACAGCACCACGGCCATCAACAGCCTCAGTGGTGTTACCATGTCCACAGGTAACATCATGTCCAGTGTGGTCCACAGACCTGTCCAGCCAGTTAAGCAGTACCCACACGTCTCCCAGGGACAGGGAAACTTCAGCATCTCAGGGCAGTTCTACCATGCTCCGGGGGTGAACCTGCCCCCTTCACCCCCCAACTCACAGCCTGGCAGCCCAGAAAATCAACCGGAGCTCATCAACACCATCTCTCCCCCACCATCCTATGAAGCCACTTTTGGACTGAAGTTGGTCCAGTCATCCCAGGTCCCCCCAGTCCCCAACGGCCTCGGAGCCCTCTCCCAAGGGCACACTGTCATGCAGCCCCCCAAATACAACAGACGCAACAACCCTGAGCTGGAGAAAAGGAGAATCCATCACTGCGACTATCCAGGTATGCTCACGGTTGATGGTACTGGCTTGGCTTTGGGAGGGGGGGGGGGTGTGCGTGTCTCTTCTTGACACACGGAGGCTGGGGGCTGACTTGGGCCTCTGCAAGAGTTTAATCCGAAATCGCTTTATCTGGGTGGTGAAGGGAGCTATGGAGCTGAGTGGAGAGCCCCAGGGGAGTGGGGTTCCTACCGCCACCGAGGGAGTAGAAGTGGTCGATCCTGCCTGCGCTAGCTGATGCCCTTTTTCTCCCCTTTGCGCTCTGGCAAAAGCAAGCCTGACTCGGAGAGGCAGAGGGCTCCTGCAAAGCGCGGGGATGCTCCTGGAAATCTGCCCTCGCTGCCCGTTCCGCTCCGGTCTTGCCTCACCCTGAGCCACTCTCACCCCGGGTGAAACCACGCTGGCTTCCTCGCTGACCTTTCCTTTCCCTCTCTCCCGAAATGGGTGGCAAACCAATTTCCACCAGCAGCCTTTAGGGTCTCTCCCTGTAGCCCCGGTGCTCTCCTTTCAGAGAGACGATGAGCTGAACGTCTCTGTGTCGTACCCTTCAGTGACTTCACGCAGTGCGCCAGGATGGCGTGGGAAGGCATCTCAGGGTAACGATCAGCCCGGAGCCGAAGCTGTTCCCTGTGTGTCGCCTCATTGCGTGAGCACGGCCACCTAAAGACCTCTGGTGCCTTGGCAGGAGATCTCACCCAGTTCCCTGCACTGTGCCCGGAGAGCCTGTGGGACCCACAGCCTGCAGACTCCCGTTCATGCCTCACAGGAGAGAAACAATCGCGTCCCCAGCGAGAAGCCCCGGCGAAACCAGTGCGAGAGCTTGAAAAAAAATCGCCAGTCCCAGTGCAGGGACGCACGCCTCCCACTGCCTGGGCCGGGTCCCAGCCGTCGAGCTGTTGGGGATTAGCAAACAGCTCTCCCACGGGGGTGTGTGAACTGAGGAAAGCCATTTCCGAGCTGCCTCCTGCAAGATTTATGTGCTCTTTCCGTGGCACAAGAGTGGCCGTGGTAGGTCAGCCCAGAGGCCTGTCTAGCCCAGATCCTGTCTCCAGCAGTGACCCGAGGACGTATGTAAGAATAGGACATGTTTAGAGAGAGCTTTCTGCCCTTACACCTTCCCACCCTCTGGCGACCTGCAGATAAGGGACTTTCTGAGCCAGAAGCTGCACCCATGTTCTCATGGTTAACAGCTTGCGCTGAATTTTTTATCTTCTGCTGGTCACGGCGGGAGACAGATTAGGGGTGTCAGTGGGCCACTGCTCTGAGACAGACCCCTCTGCTCTTGTCAGAACCAGTCGAGGCAAGAGTCTCATCCTGCGGGATAATGCAAAGCTCGCCTGTTTTCAGCAGGATTTTGGTCTGCATAGGAAGGCAGGAACGCATCTGTGGTGCAAAAAAAAAAACAAAAAAAAAAAAAAACCCAAACCCCAACCTGCGCTGTGTAAACACTGGGTGGCTCGATAGTGTGTACGTGCAGAGACAGAGGAAAGCTTCTTCTAATCCTTCACGCTGAGGTTCAGCTGGAGGTGAAACCAGTCAGGACTGATGGCAAGGGCAGCAGGTCTTACCGACGTGGTCTGCAGGAGGAAGCGACGGGAGGCATGCCGAATTCACGCCGGTAACTGGATGAACAGGGGAGACCTGTTTGCAAAGCCCCGATCCCAGTTTCCAGGTGGTGGCCCCGGCACTTTTTCCTCCGCCCGCTCACGGGGAAATGAAGCTCAGCCGTGCCCTGCTCTGCCTTCTCTGTGCTGCTCCCTCTGCGTTTGGAAACGGCTCCGGGGGCTCGGCTGGCTTCGTTTCCGTGCCCATGGAGGGAGGCAGTCCTTGGTCTCATGCGTACCCGTCTCCCTCCCGAGTGTGAGGGACCTCCGAGGCCTCAGAGCATCAGAATCAAAACTGAACTGGGTCTCACCAACCCCTATCCCCCCCGTCCCGTGGGGAGGGGAAAGGCAGCTAGCTGCTCCTGCACCTCCTGAGCAGGACAGGACGGAGAGCTGACCTCCTGCCAGAGGCTTCTGTAGGCTGGGTGGAAACACTGCAACAAAAGCGACGACTCTGTTGCTTATGCAGGTCATAAAAATTCAAATATTTTAATAAACTTGTCAAAACACAGTGGGGCAGGGCCATACAGGCAGCATGAGAAACTTTTCTAAGCTTTCTCACTGAAATGAGGAACTGGCAGAGATTCATCTTGAGATGCCTATTGTTGAACCTCCTGCCAAAGTCACGATGTTTCTGTTAAGAGCCTGTCTTTGATTAAACCTGTTGTTGCCCACCTTCCGCAAAAAACGCCCCGCTGGCTTTGTTCTGGATCCTGAAAGCCAAGCTGCGGCTCCACAGCGTACCTGGCGTTTTCTGCTTCCTGGAACATTTTTTACCACGTCTGCTGGGGCTGGAACCATGAAAAAACCCCCACATCTTCCCTCCAGCCTTGCAGTAGTGATATCAGTTACGTCTGGAATCCCGAAAGACAAATGGCAGCACAAAGCCAGCAGCTAACGGTGCTGGGTTTGATGTTTCCATCCTGCCTTGAAGACCTGGTGGAGGAAGGGGGGGGGCGGATTTGAAAGTCTGTGCCTGACCCTTCCCCCTGCCCCCCCCCCCCCCCCCCAATTCCCAGCACAACGCCCGTGGGTGTCGGGGTTGTGTGGCAAAAGACGGAGTGTTGTAAAGGTCTGTCTGTCTCGGAGAACAAACTCTTTAGTTACCGCTGAAACAAAATGGTTATAGCCAGGCTTATTTCCATACTGTTACCCAGAGTGCTCTTCAGGCCCGCTCTGTCCCTAACCTCAAATATAAATATTCTGGATTCGTTTGAGCAAGGGCCCCTCTCTCACAGGGAAGTTGTGGCTTTTCTGTTTCTGCAGGTTGCTCAAAAGTTTATACCAAGAGCTCCCACCTGAAGGCACATCAGAGGACTCACACAGGTAAGAGCACCACATCATTAGGAGGCTCTCGCCAGCCCACACTTCTTAGTGTTCTGCCTGTGGTGACGTAGCTGGGTTCATTACCTTAATCTAGGGTGGTTGTTGGGGTAAGGAGCACAGTTAAGTCTATTGATGTTAATGTTAAAAGAGGTCCAGCGGTTGCACCGGTTCACAGCGCCTGCGCACCGCCGCGTACGCTCGCTTGCCTTCTGGGGGTCTGGAGTTTGGGAACACTCGTGGAGCCTCTCGGGTCAACGGGCTGGGAGGAGCTGCCCCCAAAACCTCCGTCGCTCTGAGCTTGAGACCTCCCAAATCCTAGCCGGGCCTGCTCCCGTTCAGCCCGCAGAAAGATTGCGTGAAGGCGTGAGCCGCCTGTAGACGGACCGCTGAGGGGGCGAGGGGCCGTCCCTTGTGTCGAGTGCCCCCGAGGTCCCCAAGGAGGGATTCCTGGTGTACCAGCCACCCGGACCCCTCGCCCCCAGCGCGAGGAAGGGCTCCCGAGACACGGACAGAAGGGCTGTGCCCCCCTTTCCCGAGGGCGGGGGCGCCGCGGGCTGCCCTTGCGGGTGTAAAGAGGGGCACCGGCACAGAGGAGCTCCCACCACAACCAGCTTCCCCGGGGTAAATCTACCTCAGTGGCATTTGTGCATTCAAGCACGGGTCTTCTCACTAAGGCATTTATTATACCTGAAACTTTATCAGATCCTCAGGTAGTCCAGGAACCATCAGTGCCCTCATAAATCTCTTTTATAGAAGGGCTGATCTTTACTGAAAGCAATTAAGCTGGCCCAGAGTTCACTTTTCTTTTTTATTAACAACGAACAAAACCCATCCTGCGGCTGGGAATCAGTTCTCGCGCTTGGCTCTGTTCCGTTTTCGTCTTATCAGTCCTTCGAACAAGCCAGCAAAGAATTTTTCTTTGTGCGTGAGCTACAATATTTTTCTGGCAGGGCCTGGGTAGGAGCGGGCTGGAGAACAACACGGAAGGGGTGGAAGAAAGGAACAGGAAGGACATTGTCCCGGCTCCGCGAGCTGGGTGGTGATAAGCATTTGTCACAACAGCAGTCTGTACTCAGGGCTGTGGTAGGGCTCTCGCTTTAAAATTAAATATCGCTTTTCCGCTTCCGTTCAGAGCACGGGGCTGAGCTCTGTGCCCAGAGACACGGCCCATCCGAAACAGGCCCTGTCCTTACCAGCCACAATAGCAAGATGTATCCAGGCTAACTTTGGCAGGTTTTGAACCCAAAAAAATGCAGTGATTTTTCCAGGTTTCTCAGTAATTGGGCTGGAAATCCAAGTCTGTTTGCCTCCTTCCACTTCGCTTGCTGTAAGAGGGAAGGGCAGAGGTGCGAAGGAGGGTGAGACCTGAGCAGTCAAGAAAACTGGTAGTGTTGCGGGGCGGGTAAAAAGAAGGGAATCCAAAGCAGAGGAGGGTTAATAAGGCTCTTTCTCTCCATTTCTGGCCTGATGGCAGCTGCGCCGAGAAGTACAAGATCTCCAAGATCTTTTCTTGTGGTTTGCCCGTTGCTATGGGCTGGGTTGTATTCACCTCCTGGAGACACCATTCATTTCCTGGGTGCCATTGTGGGATTAAATATATAACCCAGTGGCTGCTCACCCGCCTCCCGGGGGCTGGGAATGCCAGTTTGGGTCCTTTGTTTGAGCTTGCCCTGCCGTGCTGTCCTGGGAGATGGAGCCAGCTCGCGGGACAATGGAAAGCATTTTGTTTCTATCCTGGAGATCAACCTGTTATTGTTTGAAACTAAAGGGCCTTGGTAGGGTTGACCCAGCCAGGTGACCTGGCTGGGACAATGTCTGTAGCTGCACAGTGCAAATCCCGGGAGCCCCGGCGTGCCGTTAAAACACCCCGCGTGCTGCTCGCAAAGGGGCTTCAAGTCCTCTATTTCCCTGCGCCGTAAAAAATAACACCTCGCTCCTCCCCGTGGTGCAGAGCCCAGGGGCTTTTTGAGGAGCAGGATATGGTCTCGGTGCCTCGTCTTTCCTATTTCGGTCCGGTGCGCTCGTGGCACTGTAGGTCTCGCCGCGGGTGAATGGTTTGTGTTTTGTTTTGGGTTTTTTTTTTTTTTTTGTTTGTTTTTTTTTTTTTTTTTTTCCTCACGTTCTGCCTGCCCAGCACCCAGGCTGCGGGGAGGAACGGCCGCCGGGCGGGCACCGTGTCAGAGCACGCCGCCCATGCCTGCGCACGCACGCTGCGTGCGGACGTGCGCTCCCGCCGCGGCGGCGCGCTGCGGCAATTGGCCGGTGAAACGGTAAATATTTGAGGTCGGGGGAAGTCAGCACATTCCCTGAACTCTGCCTGCTTGTTCAGGGCTGTTAAGAGCGAGGGCTAATATTTGAGAGCACCACACCCACGCGGGGAGAGGGCCCCAGCCAGGGTTCAGCTCTACAACCCTGGGCGCGCAGGGAGTTGGAAACGGGCACGGGCTTTTCCAGCCCAGTTCCCAGCCGGCTGAGAAGCTGCACAATTTAATTCTTTCCAGTTTGGGAATAGGTGTGTATGGGTGGGAGTTGGGGGGGGGGGGGGCGGGAAAAGAGGGCAGAAGCATTACATCACCCAAATGCTCCGCAGAAAACATAATGTTTTGTGTACGCAGAGCTGCTGCAGGGCTGAGCTTTGAGGCAACGAGCGTTAGAAGGTGGTTTCAGAGATGGGAGGCTTTGAGGAAAATCTATGTGGCATAATGGTTTCAGAGATGGGAGGCTTCGAGGAAAATCTATGTGGCATAATGGTTTCAGAGATGGGAGGCTTCGAGGAAAATCTATGTGGCATAATGGTTTCAGAGATGGGAGGCTTTGAGGAAAATCTATATGGCATAACCCGCTTCTTCCTTCTGTTGCCCCCCCCCCACACCGGTATCAGCAGCGACGCCTTCCGTAGGAACTTTTGGCTTTTCCATTAAAAAAAACCCCCAAAGACCTCAGCGAATTTTTTAGCCAGCAGTACTCCCAAATCCAACAGGAACTTGAAGAGCACCGGCAACCGGGCTTAGAAAGCCAAGTGGGATGGGGTGGGGGGACACGGAGAAGACCTGGCTACTGCGGCTCAGCAATTAACGGCCCTTTGGTGGCTACGGAGCGCGCAGCCGGTTAAACCCCAGTGGTGTAAAGCTCCAGCTCCCGTTTGGCAGCGGGGCAGACCTGGGTGCCCTCCGGGGCCTCCCGAGGAGGACGGGCGCCTCGGGCGAGGACGAGCTGGGGGTGTTTGGGAGGCTCTGGCGTGGCGTGGCGGTGACCTTGTGGGCTTTTTCCCCCCGCAGGCGAGAAACCCTATAAATGCACCTGGGAGGGCTGCGACTGGCGCTTTGCCCGCTCCGACGAGCTGACCCGGCACTATCGGAAGCACACGGGTGCCAAGCCCTTCAAGTGCCTCGCCTGCGGCCGGTGCTTCTCCCGCTCCGACCATCTGGCTCTCCACATGAAAAGGCACCAGAACTAGGAGCCGCCTGCGGTCGCCACTTCTCCAAGAGCAGCTGAAACTCTTTTTTTTTTTCTTTCCCGAGGGGGGGGCCTCTCCTCTTCCCGTACGTAGGAACAAACCCACCACTGTGATCAACCGGCAGGGCAGGGGTGGTGGGCAACCCCAACCCCCCCCACCCCCCGCCCCTTGCAAGCCCTGTCCCCAACCGATCCTGGTTCTAAAAGAAATATCATTAAAAAAGATTTATAATTACAGACTGATCTCATGACGAGGCTCCCCGTGGCACTGGGGCAATGGACCTTGGATTCCAAAGGGCTTTCTTCGGCAAACCTGCTATTTATTTGTCACTCAGGAGCAACCATCCTTCGTGTCTCAAGCTCTTTGGGATTTTTTTTTTTTTTTATTTTTTTTTTTTAAACCCCTTTCAGGGTGGTGCCTTTGGTGACCCCGAGGAGGGTTGGGAGCCTGGCTGTGCGTGAGGGGTCTCGCTTCAAACCCCTCGGTGCAATCCTCTCGGACTGCCCCGTGGAAGTGGCACCTCTGACGTGCGAGAACAGGAGCACGTGCCCAGGTTTTTTTTGGGCTGACAATCCCAGTCTCTGGGAGGGGGGGGGGGGGGAGGACACGTAGAAGAAAGAGCCTATCTCATGCTCACCTGATGTGCCTTCAAGTGAGGGACAGATGACAAAAGCCATCAGCTGTGTCCCGTTGAGCACACCTGCGTTTTCCTGGCAGCCAGCTCACTCGGGACCGCGAATATCTGCCCTGCTCGGCCGGGATTTTTTGGTTGTGTCCTTAGCATTTCTGCTTCCAGGATGAATTTTGACTTCAGGTGTCTCTGGGAGGACCAGCATGAGGTCTTGAAGCCGCCCAGGGGACTGCAAAAAAAAAAACCAAAGCCACTGATAACGCTCTGGTTTCCCAGAGCCTTTTTCCAAAAAGCTCTGGGCAGACTCTGCTCGCGCCTTGAACACGCGCACAAGGAATCACTCGTCGCCAATCACACCGGTCTTTTCGCTGTTGCTGTTTCATCGCGTTCAGACAGAAAAGAAAAAAAGCATCTTTGAACCAAATTCCAATAAATCCTGCTGTTCAGATTGTAATCACGTTACCTACCTCACAGGTTCACCTCCTCGGGCTCCGTAAGGCACCTTCCCTCTTCTTCCGTGGGGTGCCGTGATGCGGGGGGGGCACACCAGCCATCCTTCAAAGTCTACCGGGGGGTTAAACTTAGGCAGAACGAGCACCAGGCCGTGCCGGTTTAAACAGCAGCCGTGCAGGTAATAAATAAATCAGGAACAAATAACGGGCCCGGTGCGTTCGACAGATTTCCCCCATGCCATCCTCCTCTTTTGTTTTTTCCGTGAATAAACGTAAGGCGCAGACTGATGCGCGGCTGCAGCGTGGACCGGTCGCGCCCCGCGTCCTTACGAGCCTCGGGCACTCGTGTCCCTCGTCTGAGTGGGACGTGGCAACCGCGGTGGCACCTTGGGGACGGTGGAGGTTTGAAGCGGGGGGGGGGGGGGGCTGGCGTGGCGTGAGGGGAGAGGAGGCGGGGAGGGCTTTGGCGGGGCGTGGGTGGTGTGGGGGGTAGGCTTTGGGTTGGTGGTCGTGCCCGGGGCTAACGGTGCGGGGCTGCAGCGAGCCCGTGGCGTGGCACGTTGGCAAGAAGCCTCCTCTCCTTTCTCCACGCCACCAGGGAGGGTGGGGACGGGGGGGGGTGAAGGCAGGACACGGAGCTGCTGCGTGCTGGCACGCGTGCCTTTCCCCGACGGTGAGGTCTGGCTCCCCCAGACCTCAGCAATTCTCCTGGCTGGCTGGGTTTGACGGCAGCACCCTTTTGACACCATGTCCAAGCGAGGCTCGGAGGGTCTGGCTCACAAATCACCACGTGTGTGTCCTCCAGGTCTTTTCCAGCTCTTCCACTGCTTTGTCATCGCAGCTCGCTGGGGATCGGCGGGTGCCGGGGCAAACGGGCTCGTTTGCCTTCTACCTTGTTGGCTCCGGGGTCTGGCCCCCCGTCAGGGCAGGGAGCAGGACCTCAGCGATGCCACCACCGTGACCTGGGCTCCTTCTTTTTCCCACCTGGCCTTGGAGGTTGGGTTGAGCCATGCGAGCGAGTGGGGCGTCGCTGTGCCATCTCCCCGACCCCGACCCCAAAAATGGCCGGGAGGGGGTAGGAGCGGTGCGTGGCCCACAGCTTCCACCCAGCGGGCAGTTTTACCTCTTCTGCTTAGAGACGGGTCTGGAAAGCCCTGGGGGAAGGGCTCTGATTATGGAAAATAAAATAAAAAAAAAAAAAAAATCAAACAAACCCAAACCCCTCGGAGCGCGGCGGTGGTGCGGGCGGCCGGCGGCGCGGGCGGTTTGAGCTCAGGCCAAAGGAATTTCGGGGTGGCGTGGGGGTGCCTCTGCCCGTCCCCACTGGTGTCTCTGGGGCTGGCTCGGTGGGGCTGGTGGGGACCCGAGGTGGCCGTACTGGGACCTGCTGGGCTCCTCCCCGCTCCACCAGCGCCCCTTCAGCTCCGTGGCAGGGGAGCCCTGCCTCGGGGGTCCCCCAGACCCCCCTCCCCGGGGAGCCGGCAGCCCCCACGGCTCTAACCGCAACCTCTGCGGGGGAAGACCTGTTTGGTTTTTTTTTTTGTTGTTCTTTGGTTTTTGTGCTCTTTTTTTTTTTTTTTTTTTTTTTTTTTTTTGGTGCGTCTGTTGTGGTTGATACCTCCTAAACGTATCAACCCAACTGCAGGGCACGGGGTCAACCCAGCCACCATGACATCATGGCCCTCTCCGAGGGGTCTCATTGCCACCCCTCTTTTTTTTTTTTTTTTTTTTTTTTTTTTGGAGAAAGAAACCTCCGCTTCCCTCCCCTCCACCATTTCCATCTCTCCCTCCCCTGTTGTGCTGGTGGGGCCCAAAACCTGTTTGCTGAAAACCAGCGCAAAGACAAAACAACCAACAGGCAGCTTTAAACCTTAGGGGAATTTTGAATAATTTTCCTGATGATCTTTATTTTTTTTTTTTTCACTACAGAAGAAAATGCATCTGCTCATCCTCACACAGACTCTGTGTGTGTGTGTATATATATACTTTTTTTTTATTTGTTTGTTTGTTTTTAAATTTGATGGTGGGGGGGGCGCAGAGTAAGAGGTGTCTCAACAAAAACCCCACCCCAATCCAGTACTGCTTCCCCAGCAGCACCGCTGGTCTGCATGCAAAACGCTGACATGCAAATGTTTTACTGGTGCAAAGGCAACAGTTTAAAAAAAAAAAAAAAAAAAAAAATCTGAAGGAAAACCACAGCAAGCCTCGGCTTTTATTTCTCTCATTTTTGTGCGTATGGAAGGGGACAGCCTCTAGCCTTGCATTTCATTTCAGCTCTCGGTGGCCGAGGGCAGCTATTCCCTGGGAGGAAGCGGGGGGGTGATGCTGATGGGGCAAAGCCCCTCTTTGCTGCGGGGGGGACGTAGCTGGGGGGGTGCAAACCCTGGCTGAGCGAAGGTTTCCCCCCCCATCCCCGCTTCCCCTGGGACGCTTAGGTGATGGGGACATTGGTTTCCAAACCTGAGCTTGGTGCAGAACAAACACCAGTTGGGCTGGGAGATGGGCGCCTGTATCATAGTGGGGGGGGGGGGGGGGGGCTGTGGGAAAAAAAAAAAAGAAATAATCACTGTAAATAGGAAAAGAGCACTGTATCGCTTCGCGGATCTGCGTGGATTGAACGTGATCGTTTACTGTCCGAGATGAACACAATGTAAAAAAAAAAAAAAAAAAAATTGAGACCTGGAAAACTTGGGTGGGAGGTTTATTTTTCCAGTGATGCTTTTGTTTGTTACATAACCCTTTTCCCCCCACCCCCGAAACTACGACTATTGATCTATATCATGTTTTGTAATAAAATTTTATCATGTGGAGACGTGGTCTTTCTTCTGTTCCCTCCCACTGCAAATGCTCTTGCTGCCTGTACCTGCGGCCGCCCGTCCGCGTGTTGATTACAGGCTTCAGAAAAGGGGGGGAAAAAAAGAAAAAAAAAAAGCTTTTTTTGTTAGGTTGGATTAGGAAAAATGGGTAGGGGAGCGGGGGAAGGCTCCGTGCACGGCGTAAACCTGGAGCTCCAGGCAACACCATCAGTGTTACGTGACCTGAGCTGACGCTTCGCAGGGATGATGAGCCCTTTCTCAGACCGATGTTGCAACCCTGTGCAGAGAAAAAGGAGGGGCAGGATGACTTTTTTTTTTTATGTTTTTTTTTTTTGTTGTTGTTGTTGTTTTTGGGTTTTTTGGGTTTTTTTTTTTTTTTTTTTGTGGTTTTGGGTTTTTTTTTTTTTTTTTGGTTTTTGTTTTTTTTTTAATCCCTTCTGCCTTTACTAGTTGCTCCTTTTTTTTTCTCCCCGTGAGGGGAGAAGTGGGCATCGGCATGCCACGAGGGTCAGGGTGAGCCAGGGCGTTCAGAATCCCCGTCCCTGTACTTTTGTGTGTATAAATACATACATATATATATATATATATATATACACACACACATGCATTTGTCCATACGCAGCCAGGCAGCGAGGGCTTCTGAGCTCGTGCCTTGTGCATGTGTGCACCCACACGCACGTGCCCAGCCACCCACCAACACCCCCCCCCCCCCCCCAAATATCCATAGGTTGAACTGAACAGCTCTCTGTCAACCCTTCCCGGCTGCAATCCCGCCCGTTTTCTCCAGCATCTCCTTTCTGTGGCCGTCTCCTCCCGGCCCCGGCTCCGTTCCCCGGCTCACGATTCTCATCCCGTGTTAAAAATCAACATCCCCCCTACGGCCTTGCGAAGGTTTTTGCATTTCAGCTGCGTTTTTCGCGCAGCAGATCCTCCTCCCCTCCTGACGAGGACGCCTCAGCCTGAGCATCGTTAGGCTGCTCAGCTCAGTTGTTTCACATCCCTCCCCTGTGGCTTTTACACCCTGCTGACGGTCCCCAGCACGCTGTTTTGCTTTCCCAGTCCTTCTCCTTCCCCGGTTGTTTCCAGATTTCACCATCACTTGCTGAATAACTCGGGGGCCTCTAACGAAGAGCCTGGGGGGAGAAACCAGCACCACGAACCGCTCCTTCTCTCCACAGCTGGCAGAGGGGAGAAGAAACCGGGTCGTTATTTGCCGACTTCAACCCCCTCAACAGCCTCAGTTTTGCTTTTCCACTTTTCTCTGCCTGGTGATGGTGTCAGAAGTTGGGGGGGGGGGTGGGAAGGGATGTGGTTGGGGACCATCCTCGCGCAGGGAGGGAGGTTTGGGGCTGGAAAGGAGATGGGAATTTTGGCGGAGCGAGGCAGTAGGAAGACACAGAGGGGTGGCCGGAGCCTCTGGGGGGGGTCTGGAGGCCAACGAGCTTCGTGGGGATCGCCGTGACCGCGTCGCTGGGTACGACACTCCTCCTTCGACGCCATCTCCTGCTCTGCAAGTATTTGTGGAAATTTGGGTTTTGTTTTTTTTTTTGGTTTTTTTTTTTTTTTTTGCTGTACGGTCTCACGCTGGCCGGAGCTGGGCTGCTGGTCACCTTCATCATCGAGGTCCCCCCCACGCCCCGTGAACACCCGAACACCTCCTCGCCCCCCGTCCTTCCACCCACTCAGCCCAGCTGCGTCCACTGAGCTCACCCCGACAGTGACTAACGGGGGAGAAGCTGCCGTGACGTCAGGAAAATCCAGAGAGCGGCTGATTTATCGCCTGCGAAACTCCGGGAGCTGCGGCGGGGACGAAGCTCGGGGAGGGTGTTTGGGGCGGGGGGGGGGGTGGGGGGTGCGTGGATGGGGCTGCTTCTCCTCGGTGGCCGGGCTGCCGCGTGGGATGGGGACCCTCCTGCCTTAAAAAGTCTTCCCATCGCCACGGGGGAGCACACAGCTTGGTGAGCAGGGCTCACCTTTTGGGTCACTCGGGTTAAAATACCCCTGCAGAAGCGCTCCAGTCAGGTTTCTAAACCATCTGATTTTAGGTTTTTTTTTTTTTTAGTTGGTTTTTTTTTTTTTTTTTTTTTTTTTTTTTGGCAAACAGCCCGTCAAGCCCACCCGCAGCCCTCCCCGCTCACGCAGCCCCGGACCATCCCAGGGCTGCGCGGCCCCCCGGGTCCCCATTCTGGCCCCTTCCCCGCCCAGGCCACCAACCCCGCTCCTCTGGGCAGAGGTGGTGACACCCTGCTTCACCCACACGGCACCACGGGCCCGGGAAGGCCCCGCTCCAGCCCGAGCCGCTCCGGGACGTCCCGGGGGGGCACAGTCCCTCTGGGTGCTGGGGGGGCTGTTTTGTGTTGGGCACCCCCGAGGGAGAGATGCAAGAGCCTGCTCGGGTCCCTTTGGGTCAGCTCGCTCCCTGAAACACAGAGGAGAAAGCGTCAATGACAATAAATAAATAAATAAATAAAT